TTTACTGTGAGGCAATGGGCATCCCATCACCAGCACTACTCAAGCAAAAGTGGGTAATAATATAGAAGAGAATACTGAGGTGGGGGGTGAATTGGTTGTGTGGTTGAAATGCACAGCTTCTAAGTTTAACCTCTGAAATTCTCATTACATTCCCAGGAAAAAGGAAAATTACAGGAGAACCCCCTGGAACTCCACTATTATCCCAGACCCTGAGTCCTTTCCTGTCATTTTATGTAGCAGGCAGTAAGCTGCATCCAGGGGACCCGTTGGTTCTGGGAGAGTCTGCACAGAGATTCCTGCTGACTCAGGACTCCACAGCCCTGAAGTGCAGGACTGGCAGTGGGACTTGAGCTGGGCCTTGCAGGTGGCTTAGACTTGGTCTCAAAACTGTGCTAGTGGCAGGAATGAAGGATTCAAGCGTATCCATGACTGCAGTAGCCAATTTCTATTACAGCAGATGAAACTCTGCCCTGGATGGGCTCCACCTGAGTCCACTCAATTTGCTACTTCTACTAAGGAGAGTTTCAACCAGGGCCACAGCAGTCACAGCTTTCTTTTTTTTTTAAAAAAAAAAAATTATTTATTTATTTATTATCCAGCCCACCCCGGGGGCAGGGCTGGCACAGCACATAGTTCCAGGGATCGAACCACGGTCCCTGGGCACTGTCTTCGTGGCGCTTTAGGCCACTGAGCTATCTCATGTCACAGTTTTCTTTAAGAGTTGCTCCCCACCTTTAACATTAACAATTGTTATCTTCTTAGAACTCTATTCATCTATGTGGTGGCCATCTGCCTCTGTCTTTGAAAGTATTTATTTATTTATTTATTTATTTATTTATTTATTTATTTTGGTAGGAGACTTGAACTCAGGACCTTGCGCTTGCCAGGCAGGAGTTGTGCTGCTGAGCCGTATCCCTTAACTCTTTGAAAGGTTTTGCAAGTTTCCAGCAGGTCTTCCCTAGGCAGCCCACAAAACAGATTTTCATAACACACAGTGCTGCAACCCACAGCAGTGGAATCCACAAACGACTGCCAGCTGATGAGCCACTTTTAAGTGCTGGCTGAGATTAACTGTTACATATTCCAGCCACAGTCTTGATGCACATACACATGTACACATGGAAAGCATCCGGCTAGCCCCATGTTCAATGCTTTTTGTGAGTCTGATACTCTTTGGCAATCTTTTTCCTTGTGTGTGTGTGTGTGTGTGTGTGTGTGTGTGTGTGTGTGTGTGTTTGTGTTACTCAATTCAGTCATTACAAGACACTGACCCTCAAAGACATTACACTGCTGTAGCCTCACTCTCTGCACACTTCCCTGCAGGTTGCAGGGAGAATGAATGTCACGGAGCAGCTTTGCTTCTGATGCAGAGTACACTGCTGGTTACAGCCCAGAGCTATAGGTGAATAGTGAGGAAGAAAATGATGACTGAGCCTCTTCACTAAAATAAAGTTAAAATAAAACTATTAGGCTCTTTGGCCTGCCAGATAACTCAGCAGACTAAAGTGCCTGCTTAGGCAGAGTGCAGAGGTTCAAACCCTGGCATGCCACGCCAGCCCCGCCCCTGGGGCATGCTGAGACAGCCACTGAGACTGGGCGTGGTGGCACACGCCTTAATCCAGCACTTGGGAGGCTGAAAAGAGGAGAATCACTGTGAGTCTGATCTATGTAGTGAGACCCTATAGACTGTGTAGACTCTACCAAATACATAAAAAAATTAAAAATTAGACTCTTCCTAAGGAGCAGAAGACATATGTAAGAAATGTATTTTATGTGGGAAATTTTCTTTTAAAATTTGACCCCAATTTTTTTTTTCTGGTACTGGGGATTGAACTCAGGGCCTTGTGCATGCTAGGCAAGGACTCACTCACTGGGCTACATCTCCAGCTCTATGTGGGAAAAATTGATCATAAAAATGATACAGAAAAAACGGAAACATATGCCCATTTCTTTACCCCCAAGTCCCAAATCAGTCCCTAAAAAATAATGCATACTTGTTGGTTTATTGTGCATCATTTCCAGATCCTCTCCTCTACTTGTACATACATGGGAATATGAATTTTAATAAAAATTAAATTTACTACATTTATTGTTCTGCAGCCTATATTATAGAAGGTAAGCTGCTTTACTCAAAGTCTACTGATTTATATGTAAATCACACATTTAATAATGCCTTCACAGAAACAGTTACACTGGTGTCTGACCCAGTATCTGGGTATCATACTATGGTTTAGCCAAGTTACACATAAAATTGGCCATCATAAATCCACCCCTAAGCAACTTGAAATCCATAGACATCTCCTTAAATCATCTAAATCTCCAAATAAAGACAGTAAGATTATACTTCTGCCTAATGGGGTGCAGTTATCCCGTGTACAAATGAAAATGCACCAACTTTCTCTCCAGAGGAGAATGCATAGTACAAGGGTAAAGCTTTCTTTCTTTCTTTTTTTTTTTTTTTTACCTTACACATCTGAATTGAATCCAGAGCCTTCATGCAAAGCTACATCCCCTAATCTTTGTGGGATGCCGTGTGATATCTTTTTTCATTTAAAAATTATTTACTTATTTATTATTATTTCAATGTATTTTGGTTGTTACAGGGTCTCACTCGTGGTGATCCTCCTGTTTTCAGCCTCCCCAGAGCTGGGACATTGTAGTAACTGAAGTCTTCAAATTAAGAGAACATGCCCCTCACTGGCACAAGAGGCACAGCGCAGCGAGAGCATTCGCTCTTCCTGCCCGCCAGCAGCATGTCAGTGCACAAGACAGACGCTCAGTTCCCTCAGTCATACCTGGAATCAGGCCTTTTGGAGCCAAGGATCATACTGATGGCTATCCAGGCCATTTTTCTGTTTTGCCAAAAACCGGAATAAACCAACCAAACAAACAAACAGGCCTAAAAATAAGCGCCCTGCAAAGCTTTTCAGGCGCCTCTGCAGGTCTGTGCATATCGCTCAAGGGCTTTGTCTGCCAGGAACGAGGCCCTCAGAGCTCAGAGGGCAGCCATACCCATCCTGGCCCCTTTCTAGATGTCTCAGAATCAGAATCACAGTCAAAGAGAGAAAAGCCAGTGTTGTAAGGGCACAATTTGAGGGTTGGTGCCCTTTTCTATTCTGTGTGCAAGGCCTTACTCCAAGAGCTTGAAATTCCCGCATTGCTCATTCTTTGGGTCAAGGGTTTTTATTTTTTTATTTTTGAAAGCCCAAGTTGAAATGAAAATGTTGGCTGGATAGTGAAATGGGGTTATTTTAGTTGTTTGTCATGTGCCGTTAGGAATAAATTCAAGTTAATTTCTACAAACCGGACAGGAACTCAGAAAAGAATCACATCTGTGAATGGAAGAGCATGGATGGGGAGCGGCGTGTGTCTCTTGTTGCGGTCTCGGGTCTTGATGGACAGAGGAAATGTGCCAAAAATACATTCTTTTTCCTCTATGCATGCAACGTGAGTAGGTGCCAATATGTAGTGCAGGGATAGCTCTCTACAGGAGAGCAAAGAAGGCCAGAGTCTGTAAAGCCTCCTGCACCCAGCAGTGGTCTTACTCTTCCACTGACTCCAAGTGCTCTCAGTGACTTGGCCATGACAGGAGGATGGCCAGCACCTGCCTGCACTATGCAAAACTGCCCAGAAGCCTCACTGTGCCCCAACTTGCTGGCTGTAGCCATGACTTTGCTCTCCTTCTACAGCCTCAAAGCCTCAATCTCCTGGCCCAAAGACACAGGCACCCTCATGCCCTGTCTACCTGAGTTTTGAAATATGGTGTTTGAACCTTGATTTTGCTCCTAAAGAATCACCTCTTTGCCTTCCATATTTTTGTCCTTCTCACCATAGCTCAATTTCAAAAATCCTATCTCCAAGGGACATCCACTATTCAAGGATTATAGAATGATCAAAATACCAAACACAAAGACATAGTAACTAACCAGTTAGCATAGTCACGTAGAACTATCTCCTTCCTTTCAAGCACTGTTATTAAAAGTCATGTTAATGTTAACTAGCATATTTCTATTAGGAAAATAGTAGCTTCAAGAGTATAGCTTTTATCTATGTCTTTTATGCTCCCTACTTAAAACCCAGTACCTAGGAGGACCTAGTAAATCTTCAATAAGCATATCCTGAATACATGAATAAACAGAGATTCATAAAAGCTTCCTTTATAAGGATAACTCACATAAATAACAATGATATCTGTAGAAGCAAACAGCACACATAATTAGAATTGCAAATGTGAACATATAAATACATTTATTTTAGTCCAGAGACTTAATCCAAAGATTGAAATTATTTGTAAGAGGAGCAGGCCATCTCCTTAGTTGTTACAATTTGAGAGGAGTGGGAAGTTCCCTTGGCCAAAAATTATTTTCACCTGTCTCTCCAAAACCTTGCCTTACTATTAACAGAGGCAATATTTTAGGCCTATTTGCAAATGCAAATGTGTTCAGAGTGTGGGGAGCATGTTAAACTACCAACCGGGCTCTTTTTGGACCTAAGAATATTTCTTTCTAAATGAGCAACTTATCTCTAATATAGGGATGGGGCAGTTGGGTAGGAAGAAATCACTGGAAAAGGTACTAGAGAAGGACAGACAAACAGATAATGGATATTACCTCCCTCCTCTAGATTTTCCACTCATACTGGGGCTTAGGCTGGGCCAGTATCCTTGGACAGCTTCTCCTAGAGCAGGGCTACAAGGAGCCCCCAGCACCCAAGGCCAAGAGCAGCTGCCAGCTAGCTGGTAAGTGGCATTTTCTATTTCCTGCTTGTCCTCTCTCCTGGTTTACTCAGGCAAACCCTGGGATCTGAACAGATGAGTTCAATTTTTGTAATATCCCACTTCCAACATATAGTCTGTGAATTGGCCTAATGGTTAAAGGCTTCAAGCATATGCCCTGCCTTCTCTTCTCCTTGCCAGGCTTCAGCCCCACCCTTGCACATCTGCCCCAGATGCAGCTTGTCTTGAACCCCTCTCCCAGATCATAGGCTTCATAAGGACATACCTGTCACCAGCACCCATCCACCACAGTGCCTGGAGAGCAGACACACGGGCACAGAAGCATCCCCAAGGAACACAGGAGCGAGGGGTTAAGAAGAAACAAAAAGGAGCCTTTGCCGGCACCCCGAGCCTTCTGACTCCTCATAAAATGAGAGTCTCAGGACAGAGGCTCAAACACAGAAAGGGGAACTGACTAGACAGAAGCAACACCACAGATGGGGGTAGTGTTCTTTCGTGGTTCCAGATAACTTCTACTGGCAGGTGGGCATTTCCACTGATGAGAATGACTACAAGTGCACCCTCGGACAGTGAGCTGGTGTAAAGCCCTGAGGAAACCCCCAAAGACAGCCCTGTCCACAAATCCAACAGGACCTTTCCTGGTGGAATCATAGATATCTGGGAGCGCACTCTTTAAAGTACACAGAAACAGAGTCAGCTCCACTCACCCAGCCGTGTGCTGGCACTTCAAGTGGCCCCACAGGGAGGCAGACAGACCTCCACCAGAGATAGCAGAGCCGAGGTATTCATTAAGGGCCTCTCCTAAGGATCCTGCTAGAAGCTAATTCACCTATATGGCTCTCATTGTCCATTTTTTTTCTCTCTCCTAACTATAGGAATCAAGGCAATTTCTTCCACTGTTCCTGGAGGTGGGTGGTATTTTTGAGTTTGGGGGCAAATTATAAGCAAAAGTGGGAAAGGTGTATGAATTATGAATGTCCAGTAGATTTTTCTAAACCTAGTGCTAGAGATGGAATCACTATATATATATTCCTGCTTGGGGCCCAAGGCTCCTTTTTTAGGCTCCGTTGGGCAGTGCAAAGCCCTTTGCTCAGTGATAGCCATGGGGGCAATATGTGCCTCTGAGGGCTGCAGCACTGGAGCCCAGAAAGAGAGAAGCAGTCCCAGCCAGCATTTCTTTTGCTTTCTCAGAGGCTGACTGGGCCTATAGGGCTGTAGATATGAAAAGTGAGAAAGTGAAAGTTGTTTGTTGTTACCCGGGCTAAGGAGGCTCACCCAAGAAAGGCGTGTGTGTAGTGTGGGGGAAGGCTCCTGGGCTGGGAACTGGTGGCCCTGTGTCAAGTCAAATTGACTTGATCTCTGGGCCCTGTGAAGTTATTGACCATCCTAGAATCTCCGCCTTCTCTCCTGTGAGCTGTGACTAGTAATAGCCTTCCTGGCTGCACCGTTGGGAAAGACAAGTGAGCTCCTGCATGTGAATCATCCCACACTGCGTCTGCCAGGGAGCTATTCACTTTGCTATTTTCTTTTGAGTCTTGCCTATTCCTTATGTTGACCTTGCCACAAAGATCTTGCTTCTATCAATAAAAGGGCAGTAATAGTTCTTCCCAAACAGGCCTGTAAACCCCTTGCCTGGTCTGCAGCCTGGTCCCGTCTCACTGGGCCGCTTCCCCTCAGCCACTCTGTATGCATCTCTTAGCAACTTTATCCTTTATTTGGATAGGCTATACCTGGGGTTTTCCTCCGGACTTTACAATCACAACCTTCTTTTATTTGAGATTTGTGTGATTTTCTTATTGTAACATAGGAGATTACCTACCCACCTATCAGAGCACAGGAGAATTCATTCATATTTCACTTAATTTTCCAGGGCCTTCTTTTTCTTTGTGTTTCACAGTCAAACTTTTAGATAGACTAAAAATGCTGAAATCAGAATATTTGAACCACTGTTTCCCAAGCCAGGCATTATAACTACTAGTCTTATGTCATTTTTATGTCAAATCTCTACTATCATTTAGCATTTTCTATTAATGAAAAATATTTTAAATATTTAAATGAAGCTAAAAATTTAGAAAGCATTAGTCTTTGCCATAAATAAAAGATGAGCAAAATAACATTCACCCTGGGTTTCAGAATCACAGAGACCTGTGTTCATAACTTGGCTCCACTATTACTGAGTGTTCCTACGGAAGTTGGCCTCTCCAAGTCTTAGATTCCTCATAGAAGAAATATGGTAATAAACAGCACACAAACTTGCCATGAGGACTAAATAAGATGACGTAGATATGAGACCAGGCACAAATCTTGGAACATGAAAGAGTGTTTTCCTTTTAAAGGGTTGTTCTCCTTTTAAAATACAATTTCCCTCTTCTACTCCAGTTCCTGCTTACAGCAGCTCCCTCTGATGCTGTAACATAGAAGTATGTTAAAGAAAGTTAAGGGGCTAGGGGAGGAGTGGTGAGGCAAGCAGCAGAAATAAGGGGTCTGTGGCAGGGGATTTCAGAAGCCATCATTCCAGCCTCTCTCCAAGGACTCCTCAGTGTCAACTCTGCTAGAGGTGACTCTAGCCTTCATTCTCTCACCTGACATACTAAAAACTATCTCCTTAAGAGGAAGTTATAAATTTTAAAAAAGTCTTTATAGACCTACCACTCCTTACTTCCCAGCTACACAAGTACCATATAGTTGGTCCTTTCTTGTTTTCTAGGATTATCAGACTATATTGTAATATCTTTAATGTGAAACTGTCCAAATGCCTGAAAGCAGATATTGTACACTTCCCCTCAGCTAGATATTCTCAGTGTCAGAGACTGCTGCTCCTGGCTGTGGTCTCTAGGACCCTAATCCATCGAGGCTCTCCCACTGTCTATCCCCTTTGTCTCTGACAAAGTCAACCTACCTCCTAGCAGAGAGGGCTGGCAGCGAAGGCCTGGAGCATGCAGCACAGAGATGACTTTCCTCAGTGAATCAGAGATCCTATCGACCTTACAACACTTACGGGAGGTTGGATGACTATGATTTTTTTTTTCCACACAAGTCAGATCCCCGCCCTCTACACTGTCTTGTTTGTGTCAGTGTTTCACGTTGCCAGTGTTCAGCCAATCAAAAGGCGTCTACCCCATCCATGCCATCAAAGCCAAGGGCTGGACAGGGTGCTACAGTGAAGGAAGGGAGGTTGAGCCAAATGAAAATCAGGTCCTTGCGCTTGGTGAGGAGGAAGTTGCTGGTAACCTCTGAAAGCTGCTTTCGGTGTGGACTTGCTTCCTCTACTGCCGCATCCCCGGATGTCCTCAGGTCTGAGGCCCAGGCTGCAAGGAAAGTAGCAGGAAGGGGAGAAGCCACAGTGACTGCAGGCAAGTGGAGGGCAGATACTTTCCTGACTACCCAATCATTGCCCAAGAGATTGTTTTCTGGTTCTACTCTGTGTGACAAAGCCAGAAACCTGCAAGCAATTAGAAACAGCGAAATATTTAGCTAAAATTTCCCATTTTAACCATATATTAGTTGCTGTGCACATGTGACTTCCTGTGGGCTTAAAATAATCTAGAAGGAGGGCAGGCCTGAGAGCTCAGCTGACGAATGCGCCTGTTTAGGTAGAGCGCAGTGGCCGGGGTTCGATCCCTGTTATGTTGGGCTGGCCCTGCCTACAGGGCGCAATGAGAGGGCAAGGTGTGCCTGTAATTCCAGCCCTTAGGAGGCTGAAAACAGGAGAATCACTACAAGCCTGATCTGTGTAGTAAGATCCTATAGACCCTGTCCTAAATACAGAAGAAAAGAAAAGAAAAGAAAAGACAAAAAAAAAAAAAAAAAAAAAAAAGCCTAGATGGTAGTGGAAAGTGACGGTTCCAATATAGCATAAAGTCGTTTCCACAAATAATGATAGCAGCATTATTTGGTGAAATGTTCATTAGTGTTTGTTTTCTGAATGTTCTTGACACAGAGTTGGAGGGGTACAAAAGCAAGCTAAGCTTGGGTATTATGTTTGGAGCAAAGTTTACTTCTCTGGTACACTTGTTTGTGTTTACATTGTAGCTCACACAAGTTTTTTATTTCTGGTGTTATCTTTTAGGTTTTGTAAGCAAGTGACAGATGATATGAAAATGTTGATGGCTATTCTAAATGCACAGGGCTGGAGAAATAGCTCAATGGTCTGAAGCACCTGCTTAGGCAAGCTTAGGCAAAGTGCAGGGCCTGCAGCTCCATCCCCAGCAGCACATGCTGTGCCAGCCCCACTCCCAGAGTGGGTTGAGCTGGCTACAAAAACAAAACAAAACAAAACAAACTTCTAAATGTACAATTCACATTAAGAATTTTAATAATTTATTTTATTGATATTTTATGTTCCTGTTAACTACATACTGTATAATATAATAAGAACCTCCTGACAAAACAGCAAGACCACAGAGATGTCAAGTATGTCCTACAAAATGTCCAAGAAAACAAGACATGCTCTGTCAGTGTAAGTGATGTGTGTGTATGGAGCATGCTGTTGTCATGCATTCAGACTGCCTTATGTGTGATAATTGAAGTAAAACTTTTTTGCAGAGTACAAAAAAAATAAGAAAGAAAGAAGAAAGAGGGAGCTAAAGTCAAAGGCTCTTCTTGACATCTGTGAAAGCTCATGGAAGAGATGATACAAGGGTCCTGTATTTTTAACTGTTCCTCTTTTTGAGATGCAAGAGGAAGGCACTAGAGAAAGTGTTGGGTTCTATGAGCAGTGGAAACCCAAGCTCCCCTCCCTCAGTTCTCTCTAGGGGGTGGGGGCTAACTCCAGGAAGGCAATGCCTGCAGCTCACTAGGCTGGTCTCATTCCCCACTGTGGCGCAGGGACAGGGAGCCCCCAGGCTTCACAGGGCCTCAGGTAGTCAGGGTACCACATCAGCGAGCACCGACTAGGCAGTGGAGCGCCTCGTGTGGCTTCTCACGCACCAGGCAAACTTGAATTCCAGCTGGGCTACCCAAGAAGAGATACCCTTCTAAGAAGACTTCTAAGATGAAATCTTCTGTCCAACTAGCAGAATGGAGGCTCACAGGTGGGAGCTAAAAGGAAATAAGGAATGTGGTGACCTCTTACGTTCTGGGTGTATGGACAGAATTTATACTGTAGGCAGAGGATAATCCATGTAGAAGAACAAGATGCTACTCTAAACAGAATTCCTGAACTGTTTTCAATTTAGAAGTGGTACACCTCAGGGTTGGGCCTTTCTCTGATCCCCAGGCCTGCTTTGCAAGCTTGAATAAAGTAGCCATCCATAGTCCCTTGGACCTGGCTCTTCCCTGCTAGTAAAGCTCTAATGGGGCCACAGTGCAGCAATATCACCTGAGAGTGAGCACATACGACACTCATGACAAATTGGCCTTTCACTACTGCTATT